CGCGCCGAACCTGAGCCGCCACATGCAGGACCCTGCGGGGCGTCCTCCGTGCCGTGGGACTTGCGGCGCGTTGCCTTCGTGCGACGAGCATGCGCTGCATGCGCATCTCGAGCCTCGCGGGCCCGAGCGACGAGCGGGCCTGGCAAGTCCTGCGCTGCCTTCCGGGACGCTTCGGTGAGCTTCTTCTTCCTGCTCTCTGCCTGCTGCTTGTCCTCGGCTGTGATGTTGGACTCCTTCTCGATGTCGGCCACGAGCTCGGCCAACATGAACAGATGGCGGAGGTCGAACTGGTCACCCACGATGTCAGCGATGCGCAGCGCCGAGCCCCCCTCGGAGGCTGACGGAGGTGGCGGCGCAGGGGCAACACAGCTTCTTGCTGCAATTCGCTGAGGGCCTCCTTGTATTTAGTGTCAGCGTCGTCCAAGTCCTGCCGAAGCTGGCTGATGAAACCCTTCAGGGAACACACATCATATCGCCAACGTGCCAAGTTGTCGTATTCCCCGCTGAGCATCTTCTCGATCTTGCGCACCATAGCGTGAGCTTTGTGCACACGCTGATGTACTGGAATGACCGAAGGCTCAAGCTGAGCGTCCAACTTCTTGGCCAACATCCAGTACCTCTGATGAGCGTTGACATCCCCCGCCTTCCTCGCGAGGCTGGATAGCTAATCAGCCTCGTCAAGCGTGAGGCTAGGTTGTGTACTGAATAGGAGTGGCATCGCGTCACATGCTTTAGCCTCGTTCCTTGCTGCCGCCATTTCCTCCCTGCTTGCCCGCGGCTCCTTCCACAGACTCGGCGTGAGGTCCTTCACTCGAGGAGAAAGAACCACCACGACCAGCTAGGGGGGGGCTGGCCACTCCTCCCCTCGAGCTGGCGGCACCCCGTTCTGGGCGCGGCTCAGGGAGTGCCCAGAACGAAGTGCCACCAGCTCCGGGGGCGGCATCTGGGAACGGAGTTCTATGGAGTTCTGGTGGTGGTGGTGGCTCTTATTGTTCTCATCAGTCTTGGGCGAGTCCCACTGGCATCAGCGGCAGCGCCTGAACCTGGCGGGGAGAGCACACCAGGTGTCGGAGGCCGCCAAGGAGCATTAGGAGCCATGTCGCGATCCAGGGGACTGAGCTGCAACAAGTTGGAACCACAGTGCTTGCAGAACCTGTCCTTCGTCTCTCTCTCTCTCTCTCTTGCTGCAGCCACAGGTGGTACACTTTGTGGTCGGGCCTCATTCCTTCTTCTTTGACCGACTGGAAGTGGACCACCACCAATCCCAATCATCATGTTCTTGATTGGTCCATCCACCCTGCCAACCTCCGACAGCATGGCGGCCACGGGAAACACGCGGTACGAAACAAGCGTGAAGTCAATGGCCCGCAAACGCCTGCGTCGTGTCGAAGTGAACGTCTGCAAGGGCGCAGAATTCTGGGGCCCCGACACGGCTGGAAGTTGGAGGAGGAGGAGGAAGAGGAGGAGGGGAAGTGTACGATCGACCAGGAGGGGATATTGAGTTCCTCCTCCCCTGTTCCTTCTCCTCCTCCTCCTCCTTCTCCCTCTCCTCATCCCTCCCGCGTCCTCCTGCTGCTCCCACGGGGCAAGCGCGTGACAACCGCGCTTCCGCGCTGTGCGTCGCGCTGGCCGTTCGCGTACGCCGCCGCATAACGTCGCCACGTCGTCGTGCGCAATGTTCTTGTCTCCTCGTCGCTGACGATTCGTGCGTGATGATTTTGCGATGTGCGCGACGACTCGTGCGTGAGTTCTGCACTGACACAGGTGGCTGGTCGATCGGACGATTTCATCGCCTTGGATCGCTTCGTCGATATGTGTGCTTCCAACTTGCTCTCTCCTCCTCCTCCTCCCCCATGGTTCCCCCCCCCGCTCCGCCCAGGAGGCGGCATGACGATCTGAGGCCCGGACAGGCCAGGGCGAGCGCCAGAAACGCCTCCAATGTGATGTGGGTGCCGCCTTGGCCGCCGTTCCACGTTATTTTTCTGCTCGGGGGCGTGCATGGAATGCGCTTGCCCCGCTTCGCCTGAGGAGCCTTTCAGATGGTCTTGAGGTGTCCCAAGAGGGTCCCAAGGAAGCCCAGCCAGGGGTCCCAAGACGAGCCCGCCGGGGCCCCAAGCAGCCCCGACAGGGCGGCGAGAGACTGTCCCCTCTCCTTCTCCATTTTCCCCCCATCCCACTTGAGGGGCCCTGGATGCCGAGAGCGCGGCCCGAAAAGCCTCCCGCCGTGCTTCCGCTACCGCGCGAGCATGTGCGGGCATGTCTGGAGGCAGGCCCCCCCCCCAGCGCGGCCCCTCGCTCGTGGCTCTCCGGCCGCCGCCCCTGCCAGCCGCGCCGCGCGGCCGTGTAGGGAGCGCCCGCCGGGGGCTGCAGGCCCCGAACCTGCCCGTTTGTCGTTGGCTGCTGCGCAGGAGCGGCCATGTTCGCCAGCGTGGTCTCTCCCGGGCCCGCCGCAGGGTTCTATCCATGACGACCGCCTGGGGGATCGATCCCCGCGGACCTCCACAGGCGGTAGATATGGATCTACTCGGGCCCCCGGGGGCCGAAATGTATCCATATCCACCGCCCGCCGTGGCACCAGGACGTAGGCTCCCAGGCGGTGGATATGGATAAATCCCCGCCTCGTAAAGTGGGGTGCGAGTGGGAGAAGGTGTTTTTTGTTCACCCTCTGGGCCATGATGCGCCTTATGCCGCCCCCCCTCTGTCCACCCTCTCACCCCCCAAGACGTAACGCTCCCCCGCCCCCCCAGTGCGTCCCCAGCACCCAGCCCTGCCGCAGTGCGTCCGGCACCACAGTCTGTGGTGCTGGACCCATGGCGCGGGGTAGGTGGTCGTTACATTATGCCTCCTCCCCCCCCGCCCCCCTTCTCGTGACCGCCGCGAATAGCTTCCCCTAGATGAGGTCGAAGGATCGGGCCGCATCGCCGATGCATCGGAGATGCGGCTCGATGTGGAGCCCGATTTTCTCTGCGCTGGCGTCGTCTGTGCACTGCCGACATCGACGATGCATCGGGGATGCATCGCGATCTTCCGACCCCACCTGTTCGGACCCCATCCACAAGGCCTCTGAGGGCCCCCCGATCGCCGCACGCGGTGCAGTAGCAGCGGCTTGCGTGCCTGGGCTTGGGCCCCCCCGCCTCCCCCCGCCCCCCGGACGGTCGGGAACCTTTTGGACGGCGTGTCGCGCCGCCAGTTTTGACCCACCGCGCCTCGGCGCGACTCGCCGTCCACTTCCCGGTCCCCAGGCGTTCGCGCCCCCCCCCCCCCCTTCCGAGCCCGTCCGAGCCTCCCGCCCCGCGGAGCGGAGCGGCACGCCGCCCGCATGCAGGGCTGGGCGTGCCGCCCGGGGCCGCCGCCGCGACACGCCGAAGCAAGAGTTCTCGACCGCACGCCGCGCGCCAACTGTCAGATTCCCCGGGTCGTTCCTGCGTGTGGCCGGCCGTTCTCCGCCGGTTGCAGCGGAGACCCATGCCAAGAAGCACCCTGCTTGCCTCCAGGGTGCCCTGGGTTTCTCGGGTTCCGATGGTTTTGCGACGGAAAGCGTGACGTTCCCACACCAAGAATCAATGGACGTCCTGGGGTCTCAGGGTTATGTTTCTTGTGGAAGGTTTCTTGTGGTCGGGCCCCCACTGTATGTACAGCACAATCGACGTCGGGGCATCGGACGCCGCAGCTGGCGTTCCTGTTGGCTGCAGACCTCCCTTGGACCTGGAGCCCCAGCGGGGGGTTCAGAAGTCCGACCTGCATGGCTAGGGAGGAGGAGGAGAGGAGGAGGAGGAGGAGGAGGAGGAGGAGGAGGTGGAGGAGGAGGAGGAGGAGGAGGAGGAGGAGGAGGAGGAAGAGGAGGCCCAGGGCCGTTCCTGCGCATGTCGTTCCTGGGCCGTTCCGCTCCCATTCCCGGGGGGTCGCTCCTGCGCGTGTGGCCGGCCAGCCGCTGCTCCGCAGTGCGGCGGAGGCTCCTGCCCCCTCGGCGCGGCGCCTTCGCCGGGGGGGGCGGCGCGGCCCTGAGGGCTCTGCCAGGAGGCGCGGCGGCACCCAGGCGTCGCGGTGGCCACGCTGTGTGCCAGGGGAGCCACACCGCGTGGACGTTGGTTTCACGAGCGACGCGCTACCTTAACTAGCGCGTCGTTCGTTCAGTAGCGCGGCGCTCGTGGAGTAGCGCGTCGCTCGCTCAGTATCCAAAAGTTCCCGACCGTATGCCCTGCAATCGGATAGTATCCGCTTGCATGAAATGCGGAAGGAAACTTTTGCATGGCGTGTCGCTCCGCGGGTCCTGCCCCACCGTGCCTCGGTGCGACACGCTATATCTACTTCACGGTCCCGAGGCGTCCACGTGTTGAGCTTTTCCGAGTTTTCCGTCCCGCGGAGCGGAGCGACACGCCATCCGCTCGCAGGGTCTAGTGTGTCGCTGGGGCCGCTGCCGCGACACGCTAAGCAACAAGTCCTGACCGTACCGATACCGCTCCTCGTTCTGGAGAACCCTTGACGCCACGGCTGGATTCTCCTCGAAGTCTTGGTCAGAACTCACCCCAGGAGATGTCCCAGGAGTAGCGGTGGCCACGCCGTATGGTGTGTCAATGGGGATTCAGGGTTGTCGGACGCTTCCGTCGGTTCCTGGGCTTTTCCTGCCTCGGGATGCGTGCCAGCAGTTGTGCCTCGGGATGAATTCGGGGGGTGCCCGGATCCTCCTGAACGCCGCTGGGGACCCGAGAGCTGGCTCGGAAGCAAAGCGTTCGGAGGGTCGGTGTGGTGAGTCAGCGGGGCTTCGGGTGACCGCGCGGTTCTGGGGCCTGGTCCGTTCTCCGAGGCTGTCTCGGGCGGCTGTGGGGCCTCCAGGGCGCGGTGGCGGGCCGTGCGGTGTGCGGTGAGGTCCTCGGAGATTTCGAGGTCACCGCGCGGCCTGTCACTGCACTGCTTCGGGACCCCCGAGGGAGGCGCCCCTGGGCGGAGGTCGGGGGATCGGGTAAGCCTCGTCCAAGATCGGAGGACTGTAGGTGGACACCAGCACTTGTGCAGTCCAAAGCCCGGATAGCGACGCAGTCCAAAGCGCGTAAAACGCTTATGGGAGACATTGGCAAAGGCGCTGGAAAGTATGCCTGGGGAGCTTGCAAGCGTGGGAACCGTGTGTGAAGGACGCTTGCCAGGACGCTGGGAAGCAAGCTTGGGGAGCTTCAAGCGTCAAACGCAAGCTTCGAAGGAGCTGCGAAGGACCTGCGGAAAGGCTTCAGGCACGCGTATTGGGAACGAGCAGGAAAACGCTCTCGGGACACGCTGCAAGTTCAAGCAGGCCGCTCCGGGGATGCCTGACCGAGAGCCTTGGAGAGGGGCTGGCCTACATTGCGCTGCCGGCTTCTAATCTGGAGCCCTCTTACCTCTCCAAGGAGCTATCCGGGAACCAATGTCGGCGGTGTGCCCCCACCCAGGGAAGATGGTCCCGATCTCGGTGATGGTGGTAATATTTGGGCTTCCTGGGTGACCGAAAGATTTGCCACCGACACCCAAATCTGGGGCCTTCTAGCCCTGGTGGAGGCAACCCCTTATTTTGGTGTGTGTGTGTGTGCTCAGTTCCCAGCCTCCAGCAAGAGCTATGTTTTTTTTGCAATCTCGCGGCAACGATCGTTGCCGTGTGTGCGGGGGGGGGGGTCGGGGGCGGGTTCCGTCACGGCTCGCGTTGGCGCCACCTGGCAGGTGGTCATCTCTGCATTCCCAAAAAAGCGGCGGCGCGAATCGTGACCTTACCAGGAAGGAAAAGGAGGGCGTAGGTTCACCGGCTTCGAGCGAAGGTGGCCCCTGGGTTGCGCGCGCCGCGTCGACGCTGGCGCGGGCACTCGAGGCTGGACCCCTCGGGAGACTTGGGCCGGGGGCCTCACAGGACGCAGCTCCTGCTGCGGAATCCGTACGGCAGGTTCGCCGACGTGTCGACGCATCGGCGACCCCGCCGCGGGCGTTCAAGGTTGGTCGCCGCCAGTGGCCCAGAAATCGGCCAATATGGAGCGATCAAGCGATCGAAAATCCGCCGACAGTTCAAGGATGGATTACCCACGCGGTGCCAGACACGAGCCTGTCGTCACGAAACCGTCGAAGTCGTCACTACACGAGCCACTATCAACGCCGAAGTCGTCACGACACGAGCCTGACGTGCGAGACATGAGGTCGGCAGCCTCCTGGGACCTCCAGCGACGGAGGTCGGTAAGGGTGAAGCAAGTCACGTGGTCTCGGCCATCCGGGGCCCGTGTCGCCCAGGCAGCAGCCTGCCATGCACCAGCCGCCCCGGCTTGGCGGGCCAGCTGTTGCTGACGCTTGCTGGTTTTCCATGCAGCTGGACAAAGTTCCGTGCCTCCACCAGGCTGGGGTAGGGCACGTCTTTCTTTCGTGGTTCACCATGACTACTTGATGTCTCAGCACTTGGTTGCCGATGTGGCTCCCAAGGTATGTTTCAGCTGTGTGCTGCCTATTCTTGCCAATGCCTTGGTGTCTTGTCGTGCGACTGCCCAGCGGCGAGGAGAAACTAATCGTGAGCGGCACGATTCCACCATATTGCCGCTATTCCGCCCTCACCGACGCGACTCAGCGCCCTTGGCCAGAGGCTTGCAGTGTGCACGTGCGGAGAAGCACGTGAGAAAGGTGGACTGTGCCCAGCAGGTCTCGCAGGAAAAGAAGACGGAAGAGGAGGAGGAGGAGGAGGAGGAGGAGGAGGAGGAGGAGGAGGAGGAGGAGGAGGAGGAGGAGGAGGAGCAGTTGAGGAGGTGGTAGAGGAGGACGACGAGGACGAGGACGAGGAGGAGGAGGAGGGAGATGAGGAGGAGGAGGAGGAGGAGGAGGAGGAGGAGGAGGAGGAGGAGGAGAGGAGGAGGAGGCGGAGGCGGGCGGAGGAGGAGGAGGAGAGGAGGAGGAGGAGGAGGAGGAGGAGGAGGAGGAGGAGGAGGAGGAGGGGTGGGAGGAGGAGAAGGATGAGGAGGAGGGGGAGGAGGAGAAGGATGAGGAGGAGGAGGAGGAGGAGGAGGAGGAGGAGGAGGAGGAGGAGGGATAG